TCCATGGATTCTCCAGGCAAGAACACTGGAGTGAACTGCCATTCCCTCCTCCAGGGGATCTTCCCAACCCAGGGATTGAACCCACGTCTTCCTGAATTGCAGATAGATTCTTTACCGTCTGAACCACCAGGGATGATCATAGTTCATAAAATGTAAGATGTCATTGGTGATAAAATGAATCATAATTTTGCCAGCCATAAAAGGAGAATAAGTGCTGTCAATAATCCATGACATGCCATCAATGGTGAGATGCATCCAGATTTCAGAGCTGGTAAAATGTGGAAAATGGCATATCCTAAAGAAAAAAAAAACAACAGTGAAATAGAATTTAAAGGGATGCTCCATAAGAGTTGCTTACCAGTGTAACCTGGTTTATTAAGTGATGGATCAGCTGTTTATGAGTCAAGAGAACATACTGATGTTGTAAAGATGTTGGCTAAAAGATGTCGTTTTCATCGCCATGGAAGCAGTCAGGTGATGTACCAGATTCTGGTTGGTTATGCGTGGGAAAAAAGGCAGACTGTGGATTTTGGAGGACCTTGGCTTCCTAAAGTGAACATTGTATTGCGATATCAAGGACTTCTATAAGAATTTCTTTTTTTCTGAAGCATCATCTTAACATGCTTGTTCCACTTGGTTTTCCATTTGTTCTTTGTAACTGTTTGAGGCACGTAAGACTTGAGGAAGCTGAGGGTCGACGGGAATCCCGTCCTCTGGACATCTAGTTCTGGCCATTTTCTGGGTTTTTGAAAACCGTGTAAGGATCATTTTCCTCTGTATACTCTCCTGGCTCCAGCTGTGAAAGCGAGCCAACCATTCTTTAAAGACTTTCTTAGTTTCAACACTTTACCACGCCCAGATTTTCATGAAAATTTAAGTATGTTGTGTTCTCTGTATTGACATTTCAGTGTTTTTATGAACTATGGGGATCAAAAGTTAGAAGCCAAATTGAGTCCAGACCCTTATTTTATAATTCTTCTGCTGGAACCATAGGAGCCTCTCAAAATATTCATCTGTTACATAAAAAAATTCATCTGTTACAGGATCTCTGAAATCTTTTGCTGGAAATGTCAGTATGCTTAAATGTGCATTCAACTTTTTTTTTTTTTAATATAAGCATTGTAGCCTCACGTTTGAAATATAATCTAGTCGAGTTCTCTTCACTTTCTGGAACTGCTGGTCAACTGCTATGACCAGAGTCCAAACGAATGGTCCTCATATGTTGTTGGTGTATTCAGTATTTAAATAATAATAAACAGTACGTATTAACACAGCGGTCCCGTTTGTTTGGGGGGCCATTTGCTTAGAATTTATGCGTTTCTCCTCTAAGTTCATAAAAATGGCATTGGTCGCCTGCCACCGGCCACATCAGAATATTCCAGCTTTCTGGAGCTACAGAAAAACACCCCCCACACACCAGCACACACCAATCTAAAGTTCATGTCTTTTTATAGTAACACAGAGGCAGGCGTATTAAATTATTATGCCACATTTCTGCCAGGTTTGGACTTTTTTTTCTTGAATTCTCTGTTATAAAGTAACCAAAACAGTTCCCGAGTCCCCGAGGCTGGCCGAAGGTTCTGAGGGAATAAGCCATACATGTTAACTAAGGCATCTGCCCACACCCTTGGCAGGTAGGCAGGTAGGTAGGTGAGATGCTGCGGATGAGGCGGGAAGCCAGGTGTCAGGGGAGTGGGAGAGCATCCGTCGAGGCCAGGAATAGTCACTTGCAGAGCTGGAGACACGGGCCTCATGTGGTCCTGGTTACCAGCCCCTGAGCAGTGGCCCGTTCTGCTTTTAATCCCACTGGGCTGGGGCTCCTTCCCCAGCTTTGAAGTCCCAGGGCCGCTGGGGTGGGAGAATCCTATGCCTCAGCCTTTGTCATTCATCCTGGGACCAAAGGGATGATGAAATCCGCACGTAATAGACAAAGGCAAGTGGGTGAACAAAGGCATGCTGTTGGTGTATGGTTCCTTTCCTTCTAAAGAACAGCAGTTAACTTTAGGGAGCCCTCTTGTTTGAAGCAGGTCTCTGAAAGCCACCCTTCAGCTTCTTTTTGACTCCTTCATTGTTCTAGCGTGCTAAGTTGGCATGTGTGTGAGTGTGTGTATGTGATTCCATTTATTATGTATTTTTTCCTGACTTGTACTAAATCCTAGATGTTTGGCTGCTTTGGCTTACTTAGCATCACTTCGGGGCGCGCTCTGTCTTTCCAGAATACGGACCTCATGTCACCCCGTTTGAAATGAAACGTTTTATCCTAAAGCCATCTCATTTTTAGACGACTTCTCCTCTAGCAAAGAAAAGCAACTTTTGCTGTTCTGAAGGCTATGCCCGCCCTCATGAAGGATTAACGCAGAGGAGAGTTTTCAGATATGCAGGAAAGCTGTGTGCCCCCCGTATCTCTAGCTTTTTTGTCAGTTTCTTCCCGTAAATCGATCTCTATTAACTTTGATTTCTTTCTTTAGAAAACCATGTGGTAAAATAATGCTATGCCAGATGTGAGAATAGGTTCCTCCCGCCCCAAACACACACTGAAGGCTTGTTTCAGGCCCAGTGTCTAAATCCCATGCTGCGTTTATGTATTTGGTCACTGGCTGTGTTTGCCAGAATATCCTGCTTTATCTAGGGGATACACTCCTATTTTAACATCGTTACTCTTTGTGCTGTGAAAGCCTCCTTCTTACTCATTTGTGATGTGAAGTCTGTCCCTCGCATTTAACCCCTTTCTGCCAGTTTATTCATGTTTTTCTTAAGTCAGTGAGCCAATGCTAACATTACATAGTATGTTATTCCCCTCTGAGGCTTGGTGGGGTCTGCAGGACCGGGCAGGAGAGCCTTGGTTTTTTTTGTTGTTGTTTTGAATGTGTAAAAAGCATTCTCTCCAGTGCTGCTATGGGAAGGCAGACTCTGTTTTGCAAACTTTATTGAAGAAGCGCTAATTTTGCCTTTGTGGATTTGCCGGACTGCACTAAGTCCGTGGTGCCGATTTGATTTTTAACCCCGCATCTGTGAGTTGAGACTCCTTACATCCGCTCACTCCGTTGTGTGACCAGACCAGAGAGCACCTAGGTTCAAGCGCCCCCCTCAACCTCCCGCCCCCCTCCCCATCTGCCGGGTGCGTTTCTCAGATTGTTGCTCTTTGCTGATGTGTTTGCTTTTGCTGGGTAGTCAAGATGCCTTCTTTCTTTCTTTTTTCTTTCTCTCTGGCTCTCCGGTTGGTCCAGCACACTGTTTTGTAGAGTTTGTGTTACTGTTTAAATCCTCAGCTCACTGTTTCCCCAGATATCACAGGACTGTGGTTCTAAGGGATTTTAGCCATGTCAGTGGTGGGCAGGGGGCTGTTAACCTCCACACAGACACCTGGCTACCACTCAGATCCAGAGCACTGAGTTTGTTCCTCATGATTCTGCCTGCTCACTGATTCGTAGCTCAGGGTGCCCGGCTGGCTGTGAAGTTCACGCACTTGGAGAGTGATGAAGAAGTTGGTCCCTGGGTAGGTGGGGAGGAGGCAGAATGGGAGGCGGTACACCCTGGATTGCGGGGTGCTTTGTGAAATTGCGTGTGCTCCCTAAAGATGCAGATACTTCCTTGTATCTGTAGGAAGGGGAGTTTCTCTCTCAGAAAGGCTGCTTGGAAGAGCTTTGTTATTAATACTAACAATGGGGTGGAGAAGAGCATCCTGACTTAAGTATCAATTCAAACAAGAAATGCTAAGAAATGCTAATGCAGACCCATATCCCAAACCGAGAAATGTTTAAGAAGAGCGTCATAGGTAGGCTCTGGGGGCAGGAGGGAGCCGATGACAAAACACTCCTTGGTGTCCTCACGAATTCCCTGCTTGATCCTGGGTTGCTCACTTCTAGGTGAGGTCTGGACCTTTCCGGATCTCAGATTTTCCCCTCTGGGGGATGGGAAGTCCAGACCAGAAGGTTGCCATAGTTTTCCATTTTATAGAAAATATGTGATGCAAACAGCATTTGCTTCTCAAAAGCTCATAGCAGTACCAAGGGTGTTTAAGAAAGGAAATAAACATGAATTCCCGTGCGGACTTTATTTTTTTAAACTATAGAAAGCCAAATTGGATTGTGTTGTAGTTATTCTGTGTAGCTGAATGAGGTATCATTCAAGCAGCTGAAATTTCCCAATTCTGTTTGCCTCTGTGGATGTGGCTGTACAATGTCAGCCTAGCCATAGGTTAACCACTTGTTTGACTTAAAGCCACAGAAGAATGCTCCAACAATGCCACATTGCTCTTTATTTTCAACAAATCATGCAAAATGAGCAAAGATAGGAATAGAAAGTAAGGGTAAAAAAGAGCCATTCAGTGATATAGATATTTTAAACATCCTAGAGGCCTCTGGTTAATTCACAGCTTTTTTTTTTTTTTTTGGTTCATTTATCATCCAGATGTTCGCCATCGTGGAAGCACCACTTGAAACTCTATCTCAGCTAATAACTTAGAAATGGAAAAATTCGTATCTTTGTCTGTTTGTCCTTTGGCGCCCCATTTCCCCCACACTCTTCTTCTAAGTAGCTCTTCTTTAAAAATCTCCTGGGAATGTGGCAGTTTTGCCAGATGCTTAGGTGTTAGCGGTCACATGTCTGTTTTTTAATCTTCATGACCATGCTGTACCCTGCCTGCTTGAATTATAGATTGCATTTGTCAAATAATGACATGTGCAATTGGATGTCTTCTAAGACCTTTGAAATCCAACTTCCTTGAGTCGAGATTAAAGTGGATATTATCTGCACGGCTGCAGTCAGGCCTGGGATGTTTGGGGACCTGCAGAGAAGTTTTTCTGAGTCTGCCAGTCCCACCTCTTACCTTCTCGGGGAAAGAAAGCCAGCTCCTTTTTTCTTCTGAAAGGTAGAAATGGATAGCAGAAAAGGTACCTAGGCAGCGGGGTCCCCGTTAGAAATGACTCTAACGTTAGCGACTTTCTGAAGCACGGCTACCCCTTGGCATGTCCTGAAGGTGTGTTTCTCTGGGCGTTTAGGAAGCGTTATCGGTCGTCAGCGAGGACCAGTCACTGTTTGAGTGCGCCTACGGCACGCCGCACCTGCCCAAGACGGACATGACCGCGTCCTCCTCCGGCGACTATGGACAGACCTCCAAGATGAGCCCACGCGTCCCTCAGCAGGACTGGCTGTCTCAGCCCCCAGCCAGGGTCACCATCAAGATGGAATGTAACCCAAGCCAGGTGAACGGCTCAAGGTAAGGAGACCGCCGGCTCGCATCCTCCCGGCCGCCTGGGTCCCCGGCCCCTGAAAAGGCCGAGTGGAGCTGGGTGGCACTGCCCCCAGGACGGCTTCAGAAAGTGAGGCCATTGCACGGGAACCCTGCGCAAGGCTGCGAAACTGTGTCCGCCAGTGGTTTGCGTGGAGGACAGAGGTTGTGAATAACTGGTAGTGTGTTTACCGAGAACTCGCTTTGAGGAGATGTGCAGTTCTAATTTCCCAGGCGTGAGGGTGTCGTGGGAAGGGGAGGCCTTGCCCACGTATGGCAGAACTGATCTCCGAGGGTTTTCCTGCCCCGAAAGTAAAACCGTCTCAGGTTTTCACGGCGGGAGAGTGTCAGCCCGTGGGCAGGCGGCAGAGCGCACGTCTGCACCACGTGATGGACCCGCTGCCTCTGCACCCCCCCGCCCCCCGTCACCAGCTCTGAACGCTCGCTTTTCCCCTTCATCTTTACTTACACTTAAAACCAAGCACCAGCATCACTCAGAAGTGTTAACTCTTCTGAGCGTGTCATGCTTCTGTCACCTAAATGCAGCAGGTTAGCGAATGTATTATCCCAGGCACTCAAAAGCATTTCATCGGATGCCGTTTTGAAAAGTAAAGTTGATTTCAGTTATGCTATAATGGGTGCGTGCATGCTAAGTCGCTTCAGCCGTGTCCGACTCTTTGCAACCCTGTGGACTCTGGCCCGCCAGGCTCCTCTGACCATGGGATTCTCCAGGCAAGAATACAGGAGTGGGTTGCCATGCCCTCTTCCAGGGGATCTTCCGACCCAGGGATCGAACCTGATCCTCTTTGTCTCCTGCGTTGGCAGGCGGTTCTTTACCACTAGCGCCACCTGGGAAGCCCTTGTGATCAAATATCCCATATATATTCAGGAAGAGTCATTTAAAATCCCAGGACAAAGAGAATTTCATTTAAATTTGCATAATCTGCCTAGAGTCACAAGAACAGCTCACCTTTTCTGGTGCCTTGCTACATAGAAAGCCCTTTTGTAGGCATCCAGTGGTCTGCCAGTCCTCTCAGCAGCCCCAAGAGGAACGCTTGTCCCCATCTGATGGATGAGGAAACTGAGACTCAGGCATTTTCTGGCTAACGCAGAGCATCACTTCAAGCCACTCGGAAATTGGATCCAAACCAAGGGTGTTTGATTCCACACCCCACTCTGTTGCAGCTAGAGGAGACCCTTTTTGCTACTTACATATTTTAATGGTCAGTGTGTTTTTAAATAAGTGTCGTGTTTTATACATGCTGGAGACCGTCGAGTCAGCTTCCAGTGTAGTGTCGGTGAAGGTGCCAAGTCAGAGTCCCCAGAGGGAACGTCACGCGTGAGGCTGGACGTGCCAGACACAGAGATGGGAGGTGCTAGGACTTACCTGGGCTCCGGGGAGTCCTCCACTTCCCTGCATCGCGTTTCTTCTCGGAATCGGGATGCCGCCTTTCTGCTGTGACACTGGTCCTGGAAGTGGATTCTAGCCGAGGTGGGCTCATCCTGGACCTCATCAAGCGAAAGCTCCTAGGCTTCTGGGAGGCCCAGGGTGGGAATGCAGTCGTAGAGTCCAGGTTCATCGTTACATATGATATGTATAAATACTTCACACGTAAATCCTGTCCAAATAGAGTGTTCCCACCAACTGTTCACTGCATTTGTTCCTGAGACTTGCTCTGTTCTGAAGAATCTAACAGTGTTTATATAGAAGGGCTGTTGTGCCACCAGCCCTCTAAACAGTGATGGATTCTATTTTTTCATTGTTGTTTAATTTTTTTTTAACTTTACTTTGTATCAGGGTCCAGCTAGTTAACATACAATGTTGTGATAGTTTTGGGTCAATAGCAAAGGGACTCAGCCATCCATCTAGATGGACCCACTCTCTCCCCAAACTCCTCTCCCATCCAGGCTGCCACGTAGACCTGAGCAGAGTGGTGGATTCTGTTTTTGATGGAGTCACGTGATCCCGTACACGCCAGGATAGTCACGACGGGGTGGGGTGCGTTTCTAAAGAGGTCTTCTTCCAAGGCTCGTTTCTCCCTGCGGGAAATACATCAGCGTGGGTGTCGTGCGTGTGTGTGTGTGCGTGTGTGTGTGTGCGTGTGTGAGATAGGCAGAGACAGAGAAAGGCAGAGATGGAGGGGAGAAGGAGAAAGAATCAGAGAAAGCACTTTGGGCAGAGGGCAGCAGCGTGGCTTCCAGCTGGCAGTTAGCAGGGGGATCCGTGCCCTGGCCCTTTTTGCCAAGTCTGGCCTCGGGCCAGCTCTCGAGTGCCAGTCTGCATTTAGCAAGGCTCAGAAAGGAGCCTGAGCCAGGAGGTGAGAACGGTGTTGCAGAAGTAAAACTTTCCTTCTGGCCGGATTTAAATAAACGAATGAACAAATAAGCAAACGGAGGAATAAATAAATAAGGGAGACGCGTGAATAGCGTTTCCTCCGATGCAGGTCTGTGCGTTTCCTCAGGAGCCCACGTCCACCTGCCCTCCTGGCTGGACCGTGGGGGCCACCTCCCCAGCCCAAGGTTGGTCACCCTGGGAATTTGGGATGGGGTGTGGGGGGTGCTCAAGGCAACCTTGAACTTGGCCTTAAGGCGTCAAGTGTCTAAGAAAGACACCACCCGTTGGAAGCTACTCCCGTGTTCCTGGCTAACTGGGGAAGTTGCCTTGGTGGTTGCAAAGTGTCGGGCTCCGGCGAGGGTCTCTTCCTGGGAAATGAAACCATGTGTGGAGGAACTGGACCGTTTTCTTGCAGGGAGACAATGGAAGCGTCAGTCGTTTCTTCTCCCAGGCTGTCATGGAGCCCTGAGATGCTCAGAGGTGTCCCATCCGAGGCTCGTTAGAGGCGGTTCCAGCTTTGGGAGCAAACCAGGACACACTTCGGTGGCTGCTCCCAAGGGAGGCCACCTTGTCAACATCTCCGTCTTCTTCCTGGATGCGCGGTGGTGCCCGCCCGCTGGGCACTGCCCGGGACGAGCGCACGGCTGAGCCACCTGCCTGTGAGCCAGCGCTGAGCGCGTCCTGGATGGGAAATGGTGAAGCTGGTGTGGACCAGTGCGGGGCAGGAAGCTCAGCTCGGCGGGTCTGAGCTATGACACAGATGTCAACCGGTCCCCCAATGCCAGCCCTCACATCCGGAATGTTCTGGAAATGCAGGAGGGTAGCATCTTCTCTGTGTTGATCCTCTCTGGAGCAGAGGCTTCTGCCTGTCCTTCCTGAGCTCAGCGTCCACTGGAATCCAGCGTGGTGGGGCCTGGCCTTGCTGTGCCAGTCGGGTTCTGCAGAGACAGACCAGTGGGGCACCCACTGAAGAGATTTGTTGTAAGGATTTGGCTCATGTAGTTGCGGAGGCTGTCGAGTCTGACATCTGTTGGGCGTACACTGGCAGGCTGGAAACTCAAGCAGCCATGGATGCAACCGTCTTGAGGCGGAATTTCTTCCTCTTCGGGGAAAGCGCAGGTTTTGCTTCTGACCTTCAGCTGATGAGACGAGGCCCACCAGCCTTATCAAGGATAATCACCTCTCTTTAACATCAGAGGATGGTAGATGTTAACCACACCTTTGAAATACCTTCAGACCAATGCCTCGATTGGCCTTGGATTTAAGTCACTGAGTGCAGTGGCCTGGCCAGGAAGGCTCAGAAAACTGACCACACCCGGGGCTCCTGGCCGCTTGGCTGGTCAGTGGTCAGTGGAGCTGTTCCTTTCAGATTTCCAGGCCAGCATTTGCTGGTGTGGCCAGTTCCCTGTCCCTGAGCATCTCAGCTTGGCTGAGTGATAAGTGTCGGAAGGAGGTTCATACAACAGATTGATGTCACCAGGTCACCCCAGGACCGGCCTTCAGCTGTGACCAGTGCAATAGTGCAAGGTGGACATGAGGCATAACCTGCTCTGCAGAATATAAGGGGCTCCCCTGAAGGGGAGTGAAAATGAAAGTCTTAATCACTCAGTCGTGTCTGACTCTTTGCGACCTCAAGGCCTGCAGCCCGCCAGGCTCCTCTGTCCTTGGGATTTCCCAGGCCAGAATCCTGGAGTGGGTTGCCATGTCCTCCTCCAGGGGATCCTCCCTATCCAGGGATTGAACCCAGGTCTCTGACATTGCAGGCAAATTTTTTTTTTGCCATCTGAGCCACCAGGGAAGCCATGGCGGAAGGGAAAACTCAAAAATCCATCAGTGCAGCTAAGGCCCGTTTCCTCTAGAGGATTCGAAGAGGCAGCAGGCAGTCAGAGGGACTCCCGGGATCAAATCCACAGATGCTGCTGACTCACTGCATGATCTTCACACGTGTCTGCTCCGGCTCCGTAGACAGGAGCATGGACGTGTGTTGACTCCACCTTCGTTCTGGAAACCTCCAGTGAACACCTGGTTGTTCCAGCCCTGCCCCGGAGTGTCAGGAGGCAGAGGCTGAGGTCGTGGAGATGGGGATCCTCCTGGGAGGGGCTTGTGGCAGGGACAGCGGGGAGGAGGCGTGGTTCTGCTTCGTCTGAGCACCAGGGCCCAGGACGCAGACCCTGAACATGCCTCCCTGTGTCTTTCTGGAGAGGGTGGATGCATCACCCACTGCCTGGAAGCCCCAGGCCAGGGGTGGCCGGGAGTCAAGGGCTGCAGCCAGAAATGAAATGCATTTCCAGCTCCGTCTTGCTGTCCTAGCTCTGAGCTCGGGTGCAGTGGCCTTCCTTGCAGCACACTTGCCTCTGGAAGTCAAGTTCGGGAGGAATCTACATCAGTCACAAGTTGGACTTGGGCCAGAATGTGTGGGTTGTTACCTTTGTGGCCCCTCCTTGCTCTTTTGCAAACATCCCCCGGGGGGACGAGACCACTCCGTAGCCTGGGTGATGCCAGAACACCACCCTGCTCCTACCGCGTGAGGATTCAGTCCCTGAGAATGCAGTGTGCTTCCCCGGTGACTCAATGGTAAGATATCCACCTGCAATGTGGAAGACTCAGGAGACACAGGCTCGATCCCTGCCTTAGGAAGATCCCCTGGAGGAAG